AAAGGAATCATAGTCCAGCAGTCCCTCAGACAAGACCTAAGACAGGAAGACTTCCTCTCAGTAAAGTGAGCAAAAAAGGAACTTCACTGAAAAGTAACGCTGAAATACAATTTTTTAAAAAATTGTAGAGCTATAGAAAGTTGGTAACTTGAGCATAAGAAATAATACCTTGAGAGATACACCACCAATTCCTGCTACCTTCAGAGCAGAACATGGACAAATAAACACATGACCTATAGATAAAGAAATTTAAAAGTAAAGAAAAATTGTAAACCTTGGGTTTACAGAGGAAGACTGAATTTAATGGACAGGATAAGGTCTCTATGAAAAATATGCAAACATATGAAACTCATAGTGAATCTCAACATCTCCTGTCATGTTTTGGTCTGCATTTATTTCCAGTTTATAAGAAGGTGAGTTGATGTGTTTTTCCTCTCTTCTTTTTCTGTTGTCCTTCCCTCTTTATCCACTCTGTTCTGGGTCAAAGAACTATAAGACATTAATTTAAAAAATGTAAATAACAGAAAGATTAGTAAAGGGAACAAGGGGAGGGAGAAAAAAGAAGCAAAGGGAAAAGGGAAGAACAAGGGACTGAATTAGAATAGATTATATTCCATGATTTTATAATTATGTCAAAATGAATCCTAATGCTATGTATACAGAACTAAAAAAGAACAAATACAAAAAAAAGAAAAAATGAAAACAATAAATTAAGAACAAAAATCAATTAGTCATTTCAATAAATGCCAAGAAAGGCTTAAAAAAAAATTCAATACCTTTTCATTAAGAAAACACTGATGAAAACAGGGATAATAGGAACATATCATAGTATCTTATAGCCTATATATAAAAAACCCAATGCAAAAATCTGGTGAAAACTGAAAGCATTTCCTTTAAAACCTAGAATTAAACAAAGATATATTCTCTTATCACTTTTATTGAATATAGTAGTAGAATTTCTCGTCAGACAAGAGACAAAAAGAGATAAAAATAGGAAGAGTTGTAAATTATCACTGATGATATGATCCAATGCTTAGAAGATATAAAAAGTTTCATCAGAAGGCTACTAGAGCTAATGAATAAATTTAGGAAACTATCAGATTACACAAATCAACATACAAAATCAAGAACTTTCCTATGTATCAATAATTAATCTGCTGAGAAATACATCACTCACAACAGCCTCAAAAATGGCTGTATGGAGCATTAGGTAAGGCCAGCACTTTCTAGAGTTGCCACTTTTGGGTCTATTTAACCCGACTCACTTTGTTGTTGGGTGGGTGATTTCAGTAACTTTCAGTTCACAATGATTTCTCTAGAAGTTCCTTCTTCTTCTTTTTTAATTCCTATGTTGTACTAGCCATTCATATATATATATATATATATATATATATATATTTTTTTTTTTTTTTTTTGGGGGGGGGGGCACTACTGGGAATTGAACTCAGGGGCACTTCAACACTTAGCCAGCCTTATTTTGTATTTTATTTAGAGACAGGATCTCACTGAATTGCTTAGTGCCTTACTTTTGCTGAGGCTGGCTTTGAACTCAAGATTCTGCCTGTCTCAGCCTTTTGATGAATTAATAAGACATCTCTCTGGTTTTATATGTTGATCTGAAAGAAAGAGACTGGCAAGCTGTGATTTCCACAAAAATGACTGCCATGATTGTCATTTTTTCAGTTTTCAGTCCACAGTTAGGGTTAAATTACTTGATTTCCACTAAGTTTACTGCTCCTGTCATGTTTTGGTCTGCATTTTTTTTCTAGTTGATAAGAAGGTGAACTGATGTGCTTTTCCTCTCTTCTTTTACTGATGTCCTTCTCCTCTTTATCCACTCTGTTCGGGGTTCTGGGCCAAAGAACTATGTACTCTGTTACCCACCTCTCTGGTTAAATGTTCCTTCACTGGCTCCTTTCTAAAGCTGTGGAGTTGTCACCTACCTCCAGCCTACCACATTCCTTTTTCTGGAAGTTTCTTTCTTTTTTTTTAATGTTTATTTCTTAGTTGTAGTCGGGCACAATACCTTTCTTTTTGTTTATTTATATGTAGTGCTGAGGATCGAACCCAGGGCCTTGCCCTTGCTAGGCCAGTGCTCTACCAGTGAGCCACAATCCCAGCCCTCTTTTTTCTAATATTTTTAAGTACACATGGACACAATATCTTTGTTTATTCATTTTTTTAAATGTGGTGCTGAGAATCAAACCCAGAGCCAAGCGCTCTGCCACTGAGCCACAAACTTAGCCCCTCCTGGAAGTTTCTTTTTTAACTAAAATAAGCATCTTCTAAATGATTCAGCTATTGTACTCCTCTTAGGTGTTTACCCAGTGAAATTTAAAAAATTAAAACATGATTGCACAAATGAACTCAAAAGCTTTATTCAGAATAGCTCCCAAAATGGAAATAATACTAGTTTCAAAAGCAAACAGCAGCATTAAAAACTGACACTTTAAAACAAATATTTCTCAATTTAGGAGGCTAGTGAACTAGGTCTGTGTGTGCAGTGAGGACTCATTGTTATGAGAAGGTATTTTGTTGCTGTTCTCCCATGGCTGTAATGGCAAGCTGACTTTCTAGATTCTCATTTTTATAAGGGCATAATCCTATTCAAGGGCATTAATCCCATATGACCTCTAATCCTAATGTCACTTGGGGGACAGGATTTCAACACAGGAATTTGGAATGGGAGACACAGTTTACATGAGAAAAGTAGTATATCTAATCAATGGATATGAACCAGAAATAAAAACTAAATTAAGGAACTGAAACTACATCTCCAGGGAATTGATGCTAGAATCAGATCAAGTTTGAATCTTTATTGACCTCTCCATTCTTTAGTTCTTTATTGATTAAATAGAAAGAAAAAAACAAACAAAAAACAACAACTGAGATTGCCCTATGGGGATCACTGTTAGGGTTAAACAAAGAAATACGTGCAAAGTTCTTAGCATGATGTTTTCCAAGTATACAATAAATGGTAGGCATTGTTAATCATATAAAACATATTCTTTCAAAGCAAAATATCATTTGGGTTGTTTCATATACTGAAACATGAATATCTGTATGGGCAGGCTGAGTCAGAATTGCAAGTTCAAAATTGGCCTCAGCAAAAGTAAGGCATTAAGCAACTCAGTAAGACCCTGTCTGTAAATGAAATACAAGATAAGGCTGGGGAATGTGGCTCAATGGTTGAGTGCCCATAAAATCAATCCCAGGTACCCCATCCCCCTCAAAACATACACTAGATAAATGCTACAAAATGTTGCTTTAAGTCAGTAATCTTCTAAACCTAATCTCACGTTCCAGTATTTCTACAAAGATCCATCCAAATTGAAAATCTTTCCTCAATTATGGTAATCAGGTTTTAGAACATTATCTCACAAAAAGTGTTCAGTGTAATGTCACAGAAACCTTGTGCTAATTCACATGTTTTCTTCTATCTAAGCAGATTAAAATTTCCTAAATATTCTCCAGGTAATTCTAATCATCTGTTTTGACTCTTTTGGAATTTTTTTTTTTAATCAAAAGCACTCCTGTCCACTAGAAAGATAATGAAATCTAGAAAGATGATGAAATGAAATCTGTGAACTTTATTCCTTAAAATGTTTTCCAAATTTGTGTCTATACTTTTCCATTCTACAATATAAATATGAAAGCCCAAACCATTTTTAAATTTCTATATTTAGAAATAAAAAATCCCCTAGCATGCAAGTAAAGAACAAATAAGAGTATGCTACACAGGAAGATTTTGAAATTTTCATAATATACTTATGTTTAAAAACATTTAACAGCTCCATGACTAGATGTAAGGATAATATAAAAGTCTTAACATAAGAGGGGGTTAAGCCATGAGTTCCCTTTACTAATCTTCTGATAATTCTCTCATTCCTTAGTTATGCCAGCTATTTAGGTGTTTAGAGGTATGAACAACAGATTACTTAACCCATCCTCGAATGCAAAGCTCAATTCTTGTTATCTGATGTATTTCTATGAATCTCTGATATTGGATGGCAAAATGTTTGTGATACTGAGGGTGGGAGGCAATCTCACATCATATCTATATTGGAACTTATTAGAAACTAAATAAGAAAATGAATAAATGAAAATACAAATTATAGTAATTTAAAGACTAAACAAAGGGCTCATGTTTCCAAGGAACAAATGTTCATTTAGGCAGAAATCATGTTATTTGATTGTAAACCTCAGTTAACCAAATATCAGTGTTTTCAAGATCTTGTTTTATAATTTTTTCCTTTGGAAAAATAATGATGTAAAAAATGATTAAAAAACACAAGCCAAACTCTTTTAACACTAGCACAAGTAAATTGAAGGACACAATCGTGGCAGAAATTGAAACTAAACTTCAGTAAGTTTGTATTTAATAGTTGAGAAAGAAAAAAGAATATTACTGAATTTCCCACTGTTCCTACTTTATTTTAAGAAAAAATAATTGTTGCTCTAGAAAATTTTTCGATTAGGATCCGTTCCTAATACTTATTATGGTAAACATTTGCTTAAATGAAAAAGCATTTTATTCTTCAATTTTTAAAGAACAAAACAAAACAAAGTAGGAATGTGTATCTTTTAAAAACTAAACACCCTTAGAAAGGATGATGATAAAGTAATAAAAAGAAAGTAGGTAATTGAGGATTTCAATTATCTTCATCTACTTAAGTGATATTGATTTAAGGCTTCTTATTTCCTGATTCTACCCATTAGACTTATACTAACTTCTGAAAAGTAAAAGTATTATTTTTAATAAATCCAAACATAGTAAAAGAAAAATATCATTTTTCAACTCCAGAATGAGTAAATTCAATTTATATGAATTGTAGTAACAAACTCATCTTAAGAAGTTAAGATATAACAATATTGTGAGAGTAATGAAAAGAAAAAAGTGTAAGAAAATTTCATGCATGGCTTTAGTATTCTATAATCTTTGTTTTCTCCATGTTGGTTTTTAATTTTTGTTGAAAAAAAAGTTTGTGCTGACTCAATGATTTCTGAACAAGAGGATTTATAAGAAAAACACAAGACTATTGGCATTTAAAATATCCAGAGGCATTTACTACTTCTCTTCATTTACTGAAAACCTGCAATTATTCTCTTCTAAAGTAATATATAGGTGATTACAGCTCATGGGTTTCAATACTTAAAAATTACCCAACAATAAAATGTCTCCATGTCTTTAGTCTTCAAATTACTTCTAAATATAAAAACATTTCAAAATTGTACTGAGAAGATGCTTCATCAATGCTATCATCTAGACATTTTGCACACAAGATTAAAGCTTCTTGCCGGACAGCTCAGGAGGTTGAGGCAGGAGAATTAAGAGTTCAAACCCAACCTCAGCAAAAATGAGGTGCTCAGCAACTCATTTTGAGACCCTATCTCTAAATAAAATACAAAATTGGGCTGGGGATGTGGCTCAGTGACTGAGTGCCCTGAGTTCAATCCAATTCCCAGGAGCATTAAAATAAAAAAAAAAAAAAAGCTTATCTTTTTAGAAAGTTATATAACTTTATTTATACAATATTGTGACTGTTCACTTAAGTTTCTTAAAAAACATTTAGAACAAGTGATAAAATGACAATACAGCTGGGTGTGGTTGCATGTCTGTAATCCCAGCAGCTCAGAGGCTGAGGTAGAAGGGTCATGATTTCAAAGCCAGCCTCAGCAATTTAAAGAGGCCTTCAGGAACTCAGTGAGACCCTGACTCTAAATAAAATACAAAAAAGGGTTGGGGATGTGGCTCAGTGGTTGAGTGCCCCTGGGTCCAGGCCCCAGTACTGCACTGTACTGTATCAAACCAAACAACAACAACAAAAACAGGTTTTTGTAGAACTTGTTAAAAATACCCCCAATCCCTTTTCTTTCCCTTCTATCATTTTGTCATCTAACTTTAAAAAATAAATCAGCTAATATGTTTAATTTCTAAAATAAGTCATCATTCTGAATATCTTTTCAATTTAAAAACCTCTAAATGAAAAATAAGATTTATCCAATTTATAATGTTCCCTTTAATATCCTTACTATTTTTACTGTTATTAAAAATACATTTCCCAGCAATTATTTATTGGCTATCATTGCAATAACAGCAACTTAATAAATGAGACTGAAAGACATAACTTTAAAAATAAACTTTTTTTTTTTGGTAAGCAATTCTTTTATAATAGGCACCTCAAAAACTATCGTAGATGTAAAAAATTTAAAAATTGTTTTGTTTATACAATTATATATTGATATTTCTGTATACACTATACATATGTGTGCATACTCACACATATAAAATACATGTATTCATTTGATTTGATATAAGCACAAACTGGGTTTTTTACAGAAAGGCTTTTTAAAACTCATAATGGTGGAAAAAACCTTTAAATATTAAACAATTTTAATACAAGTTTCTGTACAATGTAAGCAGTTTTATTTATACATAGAAAATGTAATAGGAGTAGTATTTAAAAGTACAGAACTCCTTGGTATTTAATGGCAAGTAAATCTGGAAAAAATAACAACATTCCATCCACAAATATTGTCAAGCAATAAATATGTATTTATATAAATAATTTAAATCTGTATCAAGATTAGAAAGAAAATCACAATCTGAATTTTATTCTTTAGTCTACACCTAATCCATTATCTTTGTATCTTGATGATTAATTTTTTTGTTTTATTTTGAAACCAAAGGATAATCATCATGGTCTCTAAACATTACAGGAAAATCAAAATGGTAAAAAACTTTCTCATCCAAATTTTTACATTAAAATAAAAAGTTGGTCCAAAATTTTTAAAAAATTTGTTAGTCATATTACAAAGAAATGACCACCTAGGACAGTATTTTTTATGCCAGGAAAATCCTGAAAGAGTAAAATACAGATGAAAATTTATCCATAAGCCTAAAATTGCAGACGTATTAAAAAAGGTTATTTTTTTAAAGTTAATTCTTACTGACAGCTCTGTCAGATATACATAAAACATATGATGATGATAATTTTTCTGAAATACATCTGTGTCAGCTGAGTCTTGCAATAAAGGCAGTGCTCTTCTTGTCCAGTTGACTGACCCTCTATTCTTGGAACATTGCATAGACATAACTTTGAATCAGCAGTTTACGAAACAGCTATAAAACCAGTGATACAGGTATTTCCTGAAGAGCAGAAAGGTCTCATGTTCATGGAACAATTTTAAGATGAGGAAGATGATAATGAAGGAGCCTAAAAAGAAATATAAGGTTGTAAAATCATTTTGTTATATAAATTATTAAGAATGTTTGTAGCTCTTATCTATAAACAACATAACATTTTCATAAAGTAAGTTTGAAAAAAATCAGCAAATCTCAATAGTTTGCTAAGTAAGATGTTCTTCTTGTCTATACTAGAATCTGTTTCCCATGACTCTTATACCGTTATCTCCACCATTTTTTATACTTCATCACTTAAGTCAAAAACTTTTGGGCGAAATCGCAGTGGTCAGAAGCTCTTAAGGCTGTAGCATAACCGAAAGTGCCAGAGTACAGCCACAGGGGTGCTTTGTTGTTTTACGGATTCTGAGGTTTGGAAATGGTGAAGTATGTTATGAATAAAAGTAGATTAATTTCCATTTAAACGAAAATGGCCAATTTTTTAAGAGAAGTACTGAATCTTTATAAAAATCTGCTGTACCTTGGATGGGACTATTTTAAAAGGCATTTGAAGGATGTTTTCCTTAAAAACAAAGATGTGGGGCTGGGGATGTGGCTCAAGCGGTAGAGTGCTCGCCTGGCATGTGTGCGGCCCAGGTTCGATCCTCAGCACCACATACAAACAAAGATGTTGTGTCTGCCAAATACTAAAAAATAATATTAAAAAAATTCTCTCTCTCTCTCTTAAAAAAAAAAAAAAAAAAGATGTGAAGGATCCAGAGAAGATCAAAGAACTTACGGAAGGAGGCGAATTTGTCATGAAAGAGCTAGAAGTCTTATACTTCCTTAGGAAATACAGAGCTACGAAACAATGCCATTATTCAGATATCAACAAAACTAAGTGATCATTACTACTACAAATCAGCTGAAAAATCAGTACCAACTGTTTTGTGTATGCCAAATATTCTAAGCTAGAATGGCAGAATATACATGTGTAAAAAAATACCTGAACTGTCCTGCTGAACCAAAACTAGTATGTTTCAACCGGATAACTAAGAGATATATCCACAATCCTTTATGCTCAATTTTTATTAAAATAATAAATTTATTTATTAAAATAATTTAGCTATACTATCAATTATAAATTAATAAGAACCCAGTAAGAAATTGTTTTCTAACTTAATAGGTTTTAGTCTGTTACTTTTAGCCAATTTCTTCCTTGTACTGACAAGAGAATGCCATTTAATGAGCAAAATAATTTCTTTATCTTTAAAAAAATTTTTTTCCAGTTGTAGATGGACACAATATCTTTATTTTTATTTATTTGTTTTTATGTGGTGCTGAGGATCAAACTCAGGGCCTCATGCATGCAAGGCAAGCTACAACCCTAGCCAGCAAAATAATTTCTTAACACATTTATTCTCCTTACTTTTGGAGTACTTTTATTTTTGACCCATTTGGTAACCTGAAGCACATATTAAAGGATGATTTTTTAAAAAATAACTCCCAGTAATGATTTAAATGTAGTTTTAGAAATAAAGATATGAAGATTACTTCTGACCTTGACTTTGAAATAGCCTCCCAGTGGTTGGCTTTATATAACTATTATTTCCATTATTAACTTTGCTGTTGACTCCCTTGGGCCTTAAAACATTTGTTGTGAATCAATTACCTTCTTTCACAAATGAAATAATAACCTTATTCTAAAAACACTTTTGGAATTTTATTAATTTGACAAATTTTTAAAAATACTTAAACTCTAGCCTTTTTACTACTAAAACAAAAGTTGATTTCAAAGTAACTGAAAAATTTCTTTAAATTCTCCTAATAACTTACTTATGATTATTCCTCATAAATTTTATATTCCATATAAGTTCTTTTCTTCCTCAAATAAGAGGTCATTAAATAAGAACCATTAGGAACTAAATTTTAAATTTAGAGCAAAAGGCCATAGGACAGTATTAACAACTCATGAATTATTTTCTGTATTTTTATTTATAAAAAGCCATTGAAAGCCAGAAATAAATGGTATATCAAAGAAATAGTCTTCCAAATTCAAAACTCTGCAACTGACTATAAATATTATTACATGGGTATTACATATTGAACCATTTAGTCAATGTTCAAATATTCACGTAAGGTCAATACTTACAGGAATGATTACCTTTTAAATAAATAATTAGCTTGGAAAACAAGTGTATTTTATTTTTTTAAAAAATTATATTTTTGTTGAACACAATATTTTTTATTTTATTTTATTTTTTATTTCTGTGTGGTGCTGAGGATCGAACCCAGCACCCGGCACATTGCCAGGCAAGCGCATTACCACTTGAGCCACATCCCCAGCCCGACATTTTATTAAGTAGGGAAAAATGTTAATTTCAAATTCATAAATTACTTTGAAGTATGAAGGAGAAGAATATTTTTCTTTATAACATATCTGTAAGATTAATATATTATTAACTTCTATTTACTAAGTAACACAAAACAAATACTACTGCTTCACAAACCAGCTATGTGGAATTCACTTACTAATGTAAATTGGTCATAGACTTGCATTAGATCCTCCATTTTGTACTGTTCTAGCACCACAAAATTTTCCAAATTTCCACTTGTTTTTCGCGCACAATCTTGGCAATGTACTATGTAGGTCCTCTGAGAATTGCTTTCATTAGTGACAAAAAGCAGATTAAAAACTTCCACCTATTTTTGTACAAGAGAAAAAAAGCAATAAATAGAGAAATCTGAATTTTAGCAAAATTTTTTTTACTCATTGGTATCACCATGAAATAGTATTTTTACATGAAACTGTAGGCACTGATTTGGGTTAAATTCAAGTGCTTAAAAATCATACTTGTATGTGTGAGATGCTATTTTGTACAACATCCAAAGGTAATGTTACATATTTAGAGACTAAGAACATTAACTCAAAGTTTGACGAAGAGCAACCTCTTTTTATTTTATCCCAAATGATCAGGGTGCAATTAAATAAAAATGGTCATTATTTACCTTGTAGTATTTTTATAATAGTCTACCCTCATGTTTTTCTTCTCTTGTAGCCTGAACTCTAAAGGAGGTACTGTATTTTATTCATATTTTGATCTCTAGAGCATTTCACTAACACTGTGATACTGGGAATTGGAAAAAAGGCCCCAGCCTTTTTTGTATTCTAGAGACATGGTCTTGCCGAGTTCCTGGTGCCTCACTTTTGCTGAGGCTGGATTTGAACTCATGATTCTCCTGCTCAGCATTCCGAGCTAAGATTAAAAGTATGTACCACTGCACCTGATACAACTGTGTTAATAAGAGTAAAATAACAAAAAACTTGAGTAATTATAATCACTGTCTTTCAAGAATAGGAAACCTAGGTAAGTAACAAACTGTGTTCAAACTGTGTTCAAGCAAGTACAAAAAGAAGTGTATTTGTGAGCATATATATAAGAAGATAACAATTCATCTTTTAGACAAAGATTGATGAATTACAAAGGCTCAATCAGAATAAAGGATATTTATGGTACATAATAGCTGTTTCTATTTTCAATATTGGAAAGAGATCTGTTCAATTTCAGAAGCAAAGCACTAACCAGAATTTATTTGGTCTCATAATAAAAGACTCTTGTTGTAGTCTAGTGGCCTGAGTTAAAAATTTGTTATCTCCGGTTTGTCACTGTTCTCCACTTCATTAACTGTCTTGTTATTATACTTGTTACATACTTTTCAACCTCTCCTTTTTCTTTTGCATTTTTAGGGCTACCTTATAGTCTAGTCTCTTCGTTACAAAACATATCTTAAGAACATTCCAACCATCTCCCAATGGATCATTTTGCTTTCTATCCAAATACTCTCCAATTTTCAATCACTTCTCTCTTTCAAATGTATATCTTGGTCTTTTGTTCAAAAAGCTTACAGTGAGTTTTAATTTTTCAGAATAAATAATAAATGCTTTTCAATGAATCATGATGATCTGGTGAGATACATTCAGCCTACCCTTAAAAGACTTTTAAGAATTTATAGTCTATTTTTTAGGTCCAGTGGATTGACTGCTCAACTTTACTAAAAACCCTAGTATTTCTCCATTCCTAGAGTGTTTTCAAAGCCTATTGGATGTTCTATAAACCTCCAACCTTAGCCATTTTTGACAGTTGGAAGTTAGCACAACCTTCAAAGACATTTAATTTTTAATAAGTCTGTATGGTCATGACATGCCAAAGTTAGAAGAAAATGACTTTCCTCATTGTTTAATAATTTGTATATATTTTCAGTTTCATATTCATTGTATTTGTGTCATAATTATTGTATGAATGTTTATAATCTGTCACCTACAAGTAAAATGTAAGATCCTTAAAAGTACCCACCACACATTTGTTTCTATACATCTTTCAACAGAAAAATGAACAAATACAAATTAAATATCCCTTACAGATATTAGAAATTTGAGATTTTGGAATATTTGCATATACCTAAAGATACCTTCGGCCCAAGTCTAAATGCAAAATTCATTTATATCTTAGATACTCACTACACATATAGACAAAAAGCAATTCTATACACTATTTTTACTGTGCCCATGTTTTTACTAAAGCCCTTAATGTTAAGTATGGGATTTTCCACATGTGACATCATGTCAATAATCATAAAATTTAAAATTTGGATCATTTCAGATTTTGTATTAGGGCTATCCACTTAATATATGGACTTAATACTATCTTCCAGGAATAAATATGGCTTGTTGACATCTATACTCTTACTATGCATTCTTTGTACTTTAAAATCTGAGATGATTATTATCTGCTAAGCACCTATTACATGAATGTGTTTGTAGGAGATTTCTAAGTTAATACATGTATCACTGAAATGTTTTACCTTCAGATAAGAATTTATCATGGTAGCCATAATAGCTGGTTCCAGTAAAAATCATTACAAAACGGTATAGGCAAATTTGTAAATAAGAAAAAGAGAAGAGTGGGGAGGTGATGAAAGGGGAAAGGAGGAACAGACAACAGAACTTAGAAAAGCCAAAACAAAACAACAAAAATAAGAACAATTTACTTACCTCACAGATGCTACAATAATGAGCTGGTTCATTTTTTGTCCGCCCATGCCATAAAATCTCTTTTCCTGCTGCAACAAGAGCTTCTCTCAATGACTGACATTGTTTTAGAATTTTCAGAAGACAATATCTAACATAGAGAAAAATTATGAGAGCAATATTATATTAAAAAATAATATGCCAATTAAATTATATAAACTAATATACAAAATAAGTCCATTATCAAATGAGAATGATTCAATTATGGCAGAGAACAATGATTAAAAGAAAAGATTTTGGGTAAAGATTAATTAAACATTATGTTTAAGACTTAATGCTTAGGCTAATCTTATTCACAGGTAAGAATTTTTGAATGTATCAAATAGCTTAAAAAATACTAAAAAAAAGGTAGTATTGATGTTTCCTCAAATTTTTAGTTTTGTGTATTTTAGTATAACAAGAATTCAATATAAAAAAACCTAAACCCCCCAATTAAGTATTTAAATGTCAGGATGGAAACAGACACTGGGTTGGATACAACTTGGGCTGATTCTTTTTTTTTTTTTTCTTTTTTGTATTTGTTTTTTAGTTTTAGATGGACACAATATCTTTATTTTTTATTTTTATGTGATGTTGAGGATCGAACCCAGTGCCCTGCGCATGCCAGGCAAGCACACTACCGCTTGAGCCACATCCCTAGCCCTTTAGGCTGATTCTTTACTGACTCTTCCTGAGAAGAGTGTGTTTATCACCATAATCTTTTTTTTTTTAAGTTGTTGATAGACCTTTTATGTTCTTTATTTATGCATGCAGTGCTGAGAATCAAACTCAGTGCCTCACACATGCTAGGCTAGTGCTCTACCACTAAGCCACAACCCCAGCCCTGTCACAAGAATCTTATTAGCTGATAAGCAAATTAAAGAAGCAAGAGATGTCCTGCCTTCTCCATGTGGAAAAAGTAACCCTATACGTAGTAATAACTATGTGAACAATAAACTTTCTGCCACCTGTTAACCCAGAATTGAGTTCACTTGGAGTAATACAGGGCTGCATTTATGCTTAAGCATATGCTCTGTTCACTAAATTACAGTCCCAGTAAAAAATTTTTATTTTTATTCTTCAAAATTAGTATGAGAGCAATATTTCAAAAGAAATTGAGATAATTACTTCACTGTAGTTTTGATTTGTATTTCTCTGATAGTGATTTTTTCCATATATTTATTTCAGATATTGGTCATCTGTATGTCTTCTTTTGAGAAATATGAATTAAAAGATATATGGCCCATTCTTCAATGAAGTCATCTAATTTTGCTATGGAATGTTTTTAGGTTCCTTGTCCAAAAATATCTTGCCTATTCTAATGTCTTAAAGCATTTCCTTATTTCTGCTAGTAGTATGATAGCACCCAGTCTCACATTTGAGATTTGAGTCTTTAATCCACTTTGAGTTGTTTTTTGTAACCGGTTAAGAGACCGGGGTCCAATGTCATTCTTTTCCATGTGGATATCCAATTTTCTCAGCAACATTTATTGAAAAGACAGTCTTTTTACTGATGAATATTCTTATTAGCACCTTTGTTGAAAATCATTTGGCTATAAGTTGGAATTATTTTGGGGACTCAATTCATGTACTGAGAGAACAATCTTGTCTTGTAGCTATTAAAAAAAAAAAAAAAGATAACAAATTTTGGTGAGAATGTGGAGAAAGAGAACCCTTGGCAGGAAAGTGATCGACTAAAGCCATTATGAAAAACAATATGGAGGTTTTCAAAAAATCAATTGAAAATTTAAAACAGAACTATGGTAGGACCCAACAATCCATCACCCAGATAAATCCAAAGGAAATAAAATCAATCTGTTAAGGAGATATCTGTACTCCAAGGTTTACTATGGCACTACTCACAAAAGCCAAGAAAGGGAAAAAACCTATTCATCAACTGATGACTGGATGAGGAAAATGTTGATATATACACAATGGAATATTACTATTCAGCTATAAAAAAGAATGAAATCCTGTCATTGTGGTAACAAGGATAGAACTATACATTCTTTTGTTAAGTGAGATAAGCCAGGTATATAAAGACAAAGACCACATGATCTCACTTGTGTTGGAATATTAAAAAGTCGATTTCATCAGAGTAGAACGGTTATCAGAGGCTGAGCAGAGTAAAAAGAAGGTAGGGAAGGGAAAAAAAGTAGATTAATGCATAGCAAGTTACAATTAGGAGCAAAAAGTTCTGGTATGTCACAGTTGGTGACTATATTTAACAATACTCAACTTACACAAATACTATAAGAAAGGACTTTGAAAGTTTTCACCATAAATAAATAAACAATGTTTGAGAAGACAGTATATTTAACCTGATTTAAACAAGCAATGTACACATTGATTCATCACATACTGATACATAAAAACAAAAATTGAATATATCAGAAGAATACTAAGAGTAAATTTAATGTAAAAAATAAATGCTAAAAAAAGTCTGGAATAGCTGCTGCTTCTGCTGCTTCTTAATCATTAGAATCAATCATGATTAACATGAACTTAACAAACTGCATTATCTTGTGGAAGGATATAAGATCCCTGAGAATACAAGGGGATAGAGCTTGATTATTTATGTACCTTATAAATAGATCAGTAAGGATGTACTTCTTGCTTGTCTGCTAAAGTGAAAGTATGGTGAAAAAGCAATGTTTAGTACTGCCTGCATAATAAATACCAAATGATGATTTTTCTCAAGCATCTGGTACTGCAACTGCAACTGGAGTCACCATTTAGTCAAGTTTACAACCAACTGTGGCCATCCTCCAAGATACACCTGTCTTTTGCAAAGTGTGCAATCACCCACACCCGGCATCTTTCAAATCCTAAATCTCTGCAAATCCTTCAGGAATGCAGTATTGATTTTTGCTATTTTTTTTTGCATAGGTAGAGGGAGTTCTAGGCAATTGCATTTTACCTTCCTGTACAAAATCATCTTCCCAGTACAGTTGAAGACCAAAAGGAGGAAAGTAGGTCTATTTCACTCATATATTCAGTATAAATTCAGTGACCCACTAGGTCCACCTTGATATGGAACTGAACTATACTATATTGGTCTTATGGTCTCCATGATCCTCTCTCTGACTAGTAAACCAAAATATTCTTTTTGTCTCCTAGAATTCAGAGACAGTGCCTAATAATGCCAAGGTATGAATATTTCTTTTTCCCTAATGCTAAGTCTGTAGGCCTTGATGGTAGAGACAGGGAGAAAAAAATTAACAGTATAAATACTTGGCAATACAGTAAGAGTACATCCTTATATTGATCCAGCACTGGTGCAAGTCAAAAAATTGATTGCACTGATAATGCTATTTTTGAGTTGAGATACAGTTTGAGGGCTGGGGTTGTAGCTCAGCAGTAGAGTACTGACCTAGCATGTGTGAGGCCCTGGGTTTGATCCTCAGCACCACATAAAAATAAATAAATAAAATAAAGGCATTGTATCCAACTACAACTAAAAAAAATAAGTACAAAAAAAAAAAAAAGAGTTGTGTTCACTTGAAATAGTGCTCTTCCACTTAAACAAAAAAAAAAAAAAAAAAGAGAGAGATTTGGCAGAGGTTCTATATATTTCGTTTCCAGAAACACCATGATCAGCTGGTGAATTACATAGGTCTCTGTAATTATAATAATCCTGTGCTCTTCTTACTTTTGATGATTAAGTGCCTCCACTTGACCCATTTCCCCAGCATCCTATTTACCCCATTCTGTTCAGTTTCACAATTCAGGATCTAAAGAAAGAAATAATCACTGAATTTTTCCATGATGTTGGGAATCTTCTCTCAATTTTATTACTCATGCTAACATCCTAATCTCCCCCATGTATTTAATTTTTTTCCTCTAAAGTACACTATGGTGAATCCGGAATTTCAGGTTACTTACTGTGGGGCACATTTCAGTCAATAAACTAAACAAACTAGAAACTCTGACAAGTCCAAGATTGAGAAGCCAACATCTCATGAGAGGATCTTGCAAAATCCCATGGCAAAGTAGGAATAAATGCATGTAAATGTAAGAGAGGGCTAAACTTACTTTGAAAACTGGATCTATTGCTCCACCACACATTCTCTGCCATGATGTTACCTCAGGCCCAAAATTATGGAGTTAAGTCACCATGAACTGAAACTGCTGATATTATGGCCCAAAATAAACTATTCCTCTTGTAAATTGATATATGTCAGGTATTTTGTCATAGTAACAGACAACTGACTTATACAATAACTCCTGAGATAATAAACCCACTCTCACATTCACCTCTTAAAGGTCCTACTTTGCAATTCTGTTGCATGGGGATTAAGTTTCCGACACATATATTTTGAGACACATTAAAGGAAGAGGAAATTGAAATGTTTCACAGATAATAATCATTTTTTGCTCAATTCTTCTGATTTAAATGTTAATCTCAATTTAAAAAGTGCTTTTACTGAAACGTCTAGTGCTTATCTAGGTTTTGCTGCCTTGACAACGTGACTCAAAATTAACTGTTATATATCATAAATAAGATGTAACAAATATGATCATATGGTATTTCACAACAGAAATACTAAGTATATACAAAGGTTAACAATTAATGGGAGAAAAGGAAATTTCTTAAATAAGAGTTGAGAGACTTCCAATAGTAGATGTAATTAAATCAAATGAAACAATCAAATGAAGGGCTATAAACACTTCTATTAAGAAACAGTTTACAAAACAATAACCTAATTCTATACCTAGAAAGTAGAGAAATAGCAAATTAAACTAAATCTGTCATAAGGAAAGAAATAAACATTAAATTTAAGACTGAAGGAAATAAAAAACAAAAACATTGACATAGTTTTGGGCAGAATAACTAACAAAGTGGGAGTCTCAAATTATTAAAATTGGAAATGAAAGTAGAAACACTGTTATACAATTTTTGGAATAAAAAGGATTACAACAGAATGTTAAGAACATTAATATACCCATTAATCAGATAATCCAGATGAAGTAAATTCCTAGAAATGAAAACTGACTTAAGTTTCAAATCAAGGCATATCAAATAAAATACTGCATAAGTAATCATGCACTTACCTACAACAAATATCAACATAACATTGGAAGACTTTAACAATGTTATCAAAGACAGTA